TCTAGGATTTTGAGTATGTACGCGCTGGAAGGTTGAGAGATTTAAATTGTTTAGTAAGCCCTACGTGCCAAACATGATCAAATTCTTTGGTGATGTCAATAAATACAGCTGTAGTGTATGCTTTACTTTCAAACCCACGAACAATTATTTCGGATATACGTAGTAGCTGGTGACAGGGTGAGTGGTAATAATATAAATAATTACCGAATTACCTAAATGGAATTCTAATGTGGAGTGACTAAAATCAAATAGTGTAGAATATATATTATATTATATACAGTCAGAAAGCCAGAGTTGCCTCCCAACCTAACCTAACCTAACCTAACCTAACCAAATCTGACTGACCAACCACATTGGAAGTGGATTGGCTTCAATACGATTTATATAAGAACAGTTCACAGTACGAAAATTAATCCCACATATTTTAAATTGAACAGTATGTTGTTTTCAAAGTATTTTTCAGAGCGTTACTGTGTGCTAAATTCTAAATTTGTAAAACTGTTTATGCGCTTGTGTGTTGATTTAGAGAACCGTTTTTGTGTGGGCTATTGATCATATTTTGTTATTTACTTCGATACGAAGCCGAGCAAAAAAAAAACGCTAAAAACAATGATGAATAGTTGTGTGTAATTTACACACAGTACTTCAAGGTCTTTTATATACTGGCATTCGTAGTATGAAAAATCTGGGTACATAGACCATATTTTTAAGTGTTTTTATTATTTAAAATTGTATTTCACATCAATACAAATTTTAGGTGTAAATAGAACGCAATAAAATATATTACCAACGGAGATTCAATGTATAAAATAAAAACCAGAAAAAACTTAAGCAAACTATGGTCATATATAATAAAAAAATTATTCTTTATTATATAAAATAAAACTTAATACATTATCGTTTTAAGTTTTTACGATTTTTATTATGTACAAGCTGTCCGGATCCGGCGTTGCCCGGTATTTAGTTTGCCAGGGCTGAGTAAAATAATTCCCATTCCCCATCCCAATCACCAACCCCACCCCTCATCTCTAATCTCTTATCAGATAACAGTGTGACACATTTTTCGGTTATTATGTCCTATAATCGGTCACAATTAAGAACCAAGTGTTTATTTTGGGCTACTATGGTTACAAACATTTAATTTTTTTACATTTCGTATTTTAAGTACAAAGTTCGTGTTTGAGGTCATTCTTAGGGGTGGAATTTTCGAAAAGTACTATGTCAGTTAGGTTCACGGGAGTGTACTCCGAAACTTTCCAAAGTTTCATGGTGATAGGATGAATGGTGTACTAATGCATAAAGGACAAACAAACAGACAGACAGATATATATATATATATATATATATATAGATGTGGTAAATTATTTCTATTTAATATATTGTAAAATTATTTGCGTTAAAACGCATCTCATCAAGCGTTGGACCACAAGAGTCCATAGATAATTAAATAACTACTAAAATAGATAGAATAGAAAACACAAATAATTCTAATATTAATGTTAGCAAATATTGCTGTTTAATGTAATACGTTACGAAAATTTATCTGTTAAGATCCATCCATAATATGAAACAATACATTATTTTTTCAATGATATAGTAAGAAATAGTTTTGCACTTAAAATGTAATATGTAGAATGTTTTATTTCGTAATTAGATAGACATGAAATGTACTTTATATAAATTTGTCTGCTTGTCTAACTATCTTTCTGAAATCTATTGATTTTATTTTAGGTTATTAATTAAGTGATTAATGTATTGTGGTACATATCTAATTTTATCTTATAAGAACCTTTCACATTAGTTAAAAGTTAAAACCTATAAACAAAAAATAGTATACTATACAGCAGATCAACTAGAGTTTCATACTTTTAATATTACAATATACAATATGTATGCTGAGTGATTCTTTTAACACCCTACACTAGTTTACTCTTGAAATTTCAATTCAGCAGTTATCCTTTTTGAACACAAACTCGTTAATGTTATATTACAGTATTAGACAATATTTAAATTTTTAGTATTTTTCTAGAGCTTTATCAACTTTTGAAACTTAATAATAACATATATATATTTGATTAAATATTTAAATTAAAAATAATATTCTAAACATTTTGACTAATCGATAACCAGTTTAGAATAAATAGTTTTAAAGTTTAAAATATGTGACGGGAGGTATAGTATGTTTAAATAATGCGCACAGATAAAGATAACCACACACCACCCTTCTTCCCGTCCTAAGTTTTATGTTTTAATAACTTTAAGACTATTTATTCAAAACAAGGCCAGTCGAAATTTCCAGAAAATTATTCCTAATTTAAAAATGCATTTTAATATTTATGTTACCATTTTAGTTTCAAATTTCTTTGACCAAATTGTATATAGTCAATTACTATTCCTCGCGGAACTTACACAAGGTAAATATGTTTTACGTTGATTAACTAATATATGGAACTATTAAAACTATGAACTATGGATACCAGATCCTAAAAATAAAACTATAAGAAGATAAAAGTGAAAATTAAGTTTAATTTTTGGAGTAATTAGGTTATTTATGTTTAGTGTAAAATTTTAATTTAATGACATGTAATTTTTGAGGTGACTTATTCGACTGTAGATCATTTTATTTTATTTGTTTACCTATTTCAACCAATAGATAAATTTATAAATAACATTTTTTTTTAATTAACACTTATAATTTCTAAATGCATAAAAGAAATCTATGAATGTTTACATTTTGTATTTGTTTTCTTAGTTGGCATCGGATAGAAGTAAAACTGGTAAAATTGGGTTTCGGATAAATCCAGTTATAATTTAGTCACTACTCCTGTAAAATCAAATCGTATATCTAAACCAACGCCAATTCCTCTTACGAAAGCTATCAAAAATCCAGTTTAAATTAAAGGTATTGGCAGTATTACAATTTATTTTTGAAATTAATGATAAATGGATATAATATTAATTTGGTGTTTTTAGGTCTTATCAATTTTTGTAAGTAATGCTACTAGCATACTACCATTGTCATTATAAATATTTGTTATTTAATAGAACTAATAACTAATTTTATGAAATAATTATTTATAGATGGCACACCTGATGTTACCAGAACATTACATTTTGGAACACCAACTGATTATCAAAGAGAATGTTTTACTAGAGTTTTTAAGGACCAAGCAAATTTGGCAATGAGCAAATTTCCTCATAAGATTTTAGTAAATACATTTTTTCTAATAATTATTCTACTTTATCTAATTACATTACACATTTAAAACTAATTTGAAATGTTGTATTCCAGGGTAACTGTTTAGATTCATTTGCTCGTAGACTTCTGTGGGAAGTTGGATTAGATTATATGCATGGTACGGGACATGGGATTGGTGCTTATTTAAATGTTTATGAAGTCCCAATGGGAATTTCTTGGAGAGAGATACCTAACGATCCAGGATTACAACCAGGAATATTCTTGTCCAATAGTAATTTTGAATGTTCAGAATATAATATATTAAAAAAAGTGTATAACTTAAAGTTTAAAAAAGTATAAAAGCCGATCTCAAGAAAACTTTATGATAAATTGAAATAAGTTTTCAGATTTCTTATCGTAACACTAGGTTGGCTGGGAATAAGAAATGTTAATACCCGATCCCCTTAAAAACAGTTGCAATTGGAAAAGTTTGATATAGCACATTTATGGTACTAATGGTACCAATGCATTTGCATGCACGTATAGTATGTTAAGTACTAGATAAGCGATAGCAATTATAACAACAGAAATAATCAGGTTTATATTAGGCAGATAGTATCGCCACCCCGGTAGAACAATGACACAACTGCAATAATTGAAATTTTGAAGGAGATAACATTTCAGCTACCAAAAAAGAGTCCTAATTACTTAACTAATAATCGAATTAACACGTCACAGTTTAACCAGTAAATTAAGATTTTGCATAAAATTGCCTACACCTCGCTCCTTAATAAATGGGTGTATGACGTCCTTTTTAATTACTAATAAGTGACTATAAATGTTGTTCAATTTGAGTTTGATAAAAAACTTATAATAATGATAATAGTTTTAAAAATTAAATAGTGTAAATACAATATTTATGAATTGTTTAAAAATAAAGAGAAAATCCTCTTGGACAGCATCCATCCATGGCCCTTGCAGTCAAAATATGCAACTGGTTGTAAAAAAAATATTCTTAATACTCCAACATTTTTTTAATGAATTCCTAAATTATATTAAATTAAAAAAAAAAAAAATTGACTACATCTAATTTAATAGGCGGCCAACTGAAAACCAGTTTTTTTATGTGGCCGTCTGGATATTCTTAAATTAGATGGAGTATAACAAAATTGTAGTTTATTTTTTTGACACACGGAAAATGTTTTTATTTTATTATAGTTTCCTGGTTGGTTTGTTATACAAACAGGATACAAAAATTATCTCCCATTTATTTAATTTATGTCCAAGTACTATATTTTTAAAATACCTTTAAATTTTTAAGATCTATGCCTGATAATTTGTATGTGCGTTCAAATTATAAAGTTTTTCTACTTTATTTATTCCCAAAAAAAAAAAAAATTGAAGTAATTTTTTAAATTAAAGGTTAACTGCAGGAAGCAAATAATTTGTTAAATAGATGATTTGTTTTACCATAATACATTTTTCAACTTTATTTACTCAACAACCACATATAAAATACCACACAAACCATTTTTGGAGTTTGAAACTGTATTAATGTGTCCCATTCAAACTAAAATGTTGGTTATTGATATACTCACTGATAAAAAAGTAAGTAGATTAACTTAACTCGTTGAACCAGTGTTAAAATAATTATTTTTATCATATCTGTGTTAGATTGCTTATTTAAATGATTATCACAAGAAATGTTTGGAGACATTAACACCACTACTACAAAAAGTTGGCGATGAAAGAGCTTCAAGGTGGCTAAAAAAATAGACTGAACCAATAAAACGTTAATTATTAAAGTTTTTTGTTTTTAATTGTATTTGTTCAGTTAGTATTATTTTAATGATGTCATTAATAAATTATGTTATATTTAATACTTAATTTGCTGGTTTGAAATAAAAAAATACAAATTATTTAATTTTGTATTTAATTAGATTTACACAATTATTTACCATTCCATTGTTTCTTTCTTAAAACTAAATTTTGGACTGTTTTCACTGTAAAATTGTTTGAACCATTGACGGTAAGATAAAAGTGTTAATTCTTCTTTTGTACACAAAGGTTTTTCCACATAAGTCTTGTGATTCCATATTACTATATCTCTCTCCAGCTAAAATTAAAAAAATGAGTTAAGAATAAAACAGTATAATTAAATTATGCTTACGGGTGTTACATATATATATTGCAAATGCCTATAAATAATATATAATTTTAGTTTTAGAACTTATCATTATATAATTGAATCAGTCATTTGTGAAACCTCATAAGTCAATATTTAAGCCAAAATAATTTTTTTGTTAAAGCCTAGACACACATTTTATGAAGATTGGAGAAATACCGGTATCGCGGAGTTTTCTTCCCTTCTAAATAAGGATTTGGATTTTCCGTTTACATGAGATTAGACCATTAGTAGAAAAAAGGTTTTTCCTTGTCCTGTAAAATTTTGGTTTTGGGACTTAAAATTTTTAATAATTTAAGATGAACTGCTTGTTGATATTTAGGTATTTTAACGTATTGCGACTTGCGAGTGATTAAAAATTGAAATCCACATGATACCGCGAATTATTGTAACCGGAGGGACGGTGTAGTTTTAAGGAGGTTAATCGACTATGAGTATGAACAAATAAAAATGTAGGAATGCAAAAAACTCAAGTTATCAATTTTTCCAATATGACTGCTATAGTCCTCCAAAATTCTGCCGTTTTTTATTTAGAAAGGATACCACGTTTTTACCGTGAACTTATTAATCTTAATTAAAAACTTAAGCTTTAATTCCAAATTCCTAACTAATACAGTTTATTAATCGGAAATATTACTCGCTTATTGTACTTTTGAAATACAAAACATTGAAAAAGCTTACTTCCCTTCAAAATCGAAAAAAAAAACATTTAGCTTACAACATTTTTAAACTTGAAAGTAAAGTACCTACTTTAGGTCAAGGTAAATCATAATATAATATTATTCATTCGTATAAAATAATATTATATACCATAATTGTTTCCATTTTCAGAACGAGTGGAGCAAAAAGTGATAATTGCCAAGGACAGTAGACGTGCTGCACAATTTTTTGAATAAGAGGTTCTACAGGTGTAATCACTTGTATTATTGATATAGTTCCAATCGAAAATTTCATGTTTAAAATTACTAATCCAGGTCCAATCTAAAAACATAGTTGTATATTGAAAAAAAAACACTTATTTCAATCTCCCATATTTATATATAGATGTATATTTTTTAAATGATTACTCATTGCACTGTTTTAAAGTTTAATATTTCCCGTCTCCAAAGAACTCTAGCTGCTCTTATATATTATAACAAAGTAGAGCTCAAAGGGTTTTAAAATTTATTTTTTATATACATATATACATTTACTATATACGTTATATACAAGTGTTATTGTCAATCGAAAGAATCGATATTCTTTGACAGAAATTTTATATTAGGAAGTAACGAGAGAGTACTTGAATGTCTAAGGTTTGAAAGAGTTGTAAGTCAAGACAATTAAAATACATGGAATGTTACGCCGATATTCTGCAGAATTAATAAGTGATTCTATTACTATATTTATAGATAAAATAGTAAAAAAAGCGTATTACCTACTATCTTGAAATATAATTTCTTATTTGTACATAATCTAAATTCGTGCAAGGAAGATTGTATTCAAGTTTATTGTAGATTATTTATTTAAACTATCTATTAGCCATCGAAATGTAAGGTTTATCATAATTAAAATTTTGATGTCTATTGAATAACTTAGTTTTTATATTTATTTTACAAACGTACTTGATTAGCTTTTGCTATTATTTCACCCACTCGAAATCTATTGAATAATTCAAATGTATGTTCAATTTCCAGCTCTGTTTTATGAATTTCATTTTGACTAACTTTCCATGAACTCTTCCATTCATGATGGCCGACATAATTCCAAATAGACTTTAAAACTTGAGACATATATAGTCCTCCGACACCCGCATCTTTATGTAGCAATGAAAAATGTGAAAGATCTGCACCATTTTCTTCTATTTCTTGTACGTGACTATTGGTGTAATGTTCACTTCTACCTCGGTACAGCAGATTCTTATTAATTAATTTAGGTGGATACCAATGAGGCGGTTCTTTTTCTGCATGATACCAAACAAATATAAAACCGTTTTCTTCACATGATATCCATTTTTTAACTGATACTCTAGGGATAACTTAAAAAACGACAACATTGTATAATACATAAAATGGTTATTATTATTATGTTAGGGCAAAACGTTAAATAGTTTGACTAGAAAGTTCATCAAGTTTTTTGGTAGCAAAATTTTAATTGTTTAGAGGATTGGAAAGCAATATTTCCTGTCTGCGTTAATTTAACGCACAACATAGCAGTTAAGTTAAGAAGAAGTCTTCCCCTAGAAGAGATTTTTAGACATTTAAATTTGTTGTTCAGATTACTTATCGAATCAGGAGATTTATCAGTACGTTGGAACAAAAATTTGTCTAAATTTCACCATTAGAACTTCGCTTCCCTATCAAGTTATGAATTTTCCGCTAGGGTTTGACTGTTTTCGTAATATTATTGACATTTTCATATCTTAGCTCTGGCACATAACCGAAAAAAGTGTTACCAAAAATTAATAACGAAAAAAGCGTTATCACACGGGGATGGGGTTGGAGGTGGGAGACAAGGGGATATGTTGTACGTTCGACGTTGAAATTAGAACTAAATGATAAATTCAAAATAGTTTAAGGACCCAAATTCTCTATGAATTGTTTTAAGCCAGATATTAAACACTAGAATATTAGCCAGAAACTTGATGTTTTAATATACTAGCTTGTTTATATACTATATCATTTTATCTATAATTCCACCACTGCTCTAAATTTATTTGGTACTTCGACGAGACATGAAAATGTTCTTTCGTGGTTACAGACTCGGCTGGAAAACTTTTTTTATGGAGTTGACAACTTTGCTATATTCTCTCGAAAACCAACCATGTTGTTGACTTTGTCTGATAAGCAGTTTATTAGTAGTAAAAAAGTGGGGATGGGGTGAATTTTTGAATATGATTTTACACCCTGTCAATGATAAGTCACATCACGAAAGTAATTTTATCGTAAATGTATATCAGAATATGACGTTATCTGTCAGTAAATCCATATCATTAAAATTAATTTGTTTTATTCCCAAGTAACCAAGATAATGATAGTTTCCATAGATATTCTGTCACCCCTGGTCCTCAGGGTAAAATAAAAACTAAATGTTTTTGTATGACGAACTTTTTGGGATTTTAACCTTTGAAGTGCTAAGAAAGAAGATAATTATAATTTTTTTTTTCTTTTAAGTGACCACATTTTGCGAATTTGCCAGGATATATAAATGTACAGAAAAAGCGAAAAATAGCCTGAACAGATTACGAAAAATTTGGCACAATATCTTTTTTAAGTGAAAATCTTTAGTAAAAAAATTTTTGTTATTAAAAACAACTAGTTGCGAATTTCTTTTTTTACATTAGTATGTTACGTGTTAATTTGATCATTGGAAAATAAAAAAAAACTTGTTAGTTTTCGCAGGAAATAATTAACCTAATGATGATTGCTAATAAATAAAATATAACATGTGAAAAATTTGGCTAACCATTTCTTACGTGTACGATTATTACATGAAAATAAAAAAAATACCTTTAAAAAACAATTTTTTAATAGTTTTGTAATAAAGAAATATCTCCTTGAAATGTATTATGCCAGTTAAGCCGTATGTATTATTTTAATATACACTTGTAAAGTTTAATGTTTACCACTTGAACAACTGTTTGCAATCTTTACACACTTCCCGTTATTACCCGAAAATGTCCAGCCATGAAATGGGCATTGTAGACTATTTCCTATAACTGAGCCTCCAAATGCCATATTAGATCCCAAATGAGGACAGTAGGCATCTAGAATATTGATAATGCCATTTTTTGATCGGAACACCGCAAAATGTTCTCCTGAAAAGTTAGTAGCATAGTAAATATTAAATTTAACATTTAATTATATTTAAGACAAAAATGTTTGTTGACATGTTAAGTAAGTTACAACATGTTATGATGTTAAACAAATATTTTGAACTTAACTTTGTAATTTTGATAAGAAATTCCATAAATACATAAAAATAACGTAATATCTGATTTATTAACTTTGGTTAGCAAGAAGAAAACTTCTTTAACATTATATTTTTCATAAATTACAAAATGTTTTGCTCTCACTTTACATTCCCTCCAAAACATTAAATAATATACTGAGGCTTTTGGCATCGTATATATTGCCCTCTAGATACAATAAAAATTTAACGATACTAAATCGTTTGTATCATTTTTAAATTAAAAAAATTACTGAATATCAAATGAATTGCCTCAATAACTATGACATAAACAAATTAACAACGTTATTAATAAAAAAATTATTGAATTACTAATGGTGTTCAGAGTTAAGTAATTTAAAATAAGACATATTATGCTAGTTATTGGAAAACGGCAAAATTATAAAACAGATATTACCTAGAGCCGATACATATTGGACTTGTTCTAATTTTACTTGATCAGACTCGATGAGCGAAATCCATCCATTCGGGAAAACAGGTGGCATTTGTCCTTTTTTCTTAAGCTTCATCGCTTGTTTGATCATGTTCATTCTCTCATTTGATGCCCACTGGTTTTGTGATAAACCATCATAGCCCAAGTGTGCCAGCGTCTACAGATTAATGATTATTATATTATATCAGTTACAGAACGCACTGTTAAATGCACTGTCATTGCAGTTGTCATCGCCGTCTAACCTACCCTTCGTATGTTCACTGGTCTGATTAACAAATAATAACCGCAATACAAAGTAAACGCTACTGACATCGCCGCCACAGTTGTTTTTATATTTGTATATCCATTTTGGTATTTGCTGTACTCGTAAACGTCCAAGGCGAGCTTCAATGATAGACAAATGATCAGAATCTGCGTTGGACTTATCATGATTACGACCTGAAAACGTGTTACTCGTACACCTTCATGCATACAAACGAATTAAAATATTAAAAGACAAAACCATATGCAAACAGAAATAACTGGACTGTCTGTTGGCTGTTAGGCAAAGGGTGGGTGGGTACCGCACGGAAGGCATTCATATTTTTTTTTTTTGGCGAAATGTACGTTTATCTTGCCTATTTCAAATATTGTAGTCGATGAGTTAAATAAATAAAACGGCGGCGACGATTTTTATCTTATCGAAACTAATAACAATGGTGGTGTGAACACTTGAACACGGTTATGTATAATATGTTAATGACTATGCTAAAACGTAAGCTATGTCTTATGGTTTATTCATGCCGACGATGATCGAACAGCAGAAGGCTGTTATTAAATTATAATAGATTTCTTCTTAATGGTAATAATGCGGTCGGGTGTTATTATTATTACATAATATTTTTACCTAAGTCGCCACAAGTGGTCGGCGGCATCTACGAAATTCTTTTGACGATAATTATTTTGCCAGTACTCACTTGCACAATTGCATTCAACTAGAACGCATAAGTGCATTCGCATAGGTCGGCCGCATACATTATATTCGTTATTGTTTGTTAAAAACGTTTCAAGATATTGTAACTGTTATTGTTTTTAATTTTAAGTAGTTGACGGTAGTCCAGTTTGACCATTTGTATAGTTGTTTGGTTTATTTTTGTCGTTTTACTTATTTAGGTATACATTTTTCATTTTTCAAAACAACTTTATAATGTAAGTATTTTAATGTTTTCAAGTGATAAAAGCACAAAAATAAAATATAGATAAGAACTTAGGATTTAATAGACTTTTATAACTACTGTTATTAATATTATAATAATTAATAACGTTAATTTTTATAATTATTCAAAATAATAAACATGAATAGTATAAAATCAATATATTATGCAAGAGCTATGAGTCAATATTCAACACGGATAAACTAAGTACCATTAGTTTAGAAATGTGACTAATGTACCGGTTTACCAGGGTGTTAAGAAAATGTTTGTTTTTTTGGAACGACGAGTCATAGCAGTTAGAGTCAAACTGAGAGACAGTTACATCACGATTCATGTTTACAGTAACACTATATAATATTTATTATAATTATTAAATACTAAATTGTAATGATTTCAATGAATGCTTATGCCTGTCTTTTTAAATTGTTTTTTTATTTTGTGTCTAAAAAGCCAACCTTATTATTAATTTTTAATAAAATTTCCGACATTTAATTAAAATTTGCATTGAAATAATATGCAAATATGTACAATAAAATACTAATTCTTTTATACTTAATCCACCAGAAATGTTGAGGTCTAATATTACAAGCTATTGTGTAAAAGTGCAAATTTCGAAAAACTAAAATACAATTTTGATACTTTATAAAAAATATAGTATATTTTGTATAGAAGAATAACGTGAACGAAAATGTAATTTTTAATAATAACTTCAACGGAATAAATTGGGTTAAAATTGTTTTTTTTTAGTTTAAAAATTTAGTTAAAAACACTAAAAAATAAATATTTAATTTATAAAATTATTACCTACATTTAAAATATTTATACCGCGAATTTTGAATTTTAAATCTGTCTTATTTATCTGTTGATTGGTTTTATTTAAATTTAAATATTCTTTTAATAAATTAATTCGTATTTATAATGATGTAATTCGGTAACCTACAACAACATCAGTTAAACATTATCATTAACAAATTTAAAATGTACTTGCTGAATTATTATCGTTTTTGACGTCTGTAGGTTGCAATACTTCTTTTTCCGGACCACCAAGTATATTAAGTACTAAGTTTGTAAAATTATTTTCCTTAATTTCAATACCGTACTCATACGTGTAATTAATTTGTATTCTATTGTTTTTTTTTTTATTCAAAACTTCATCTTTTAAGTAAGGTGCGCTTTTAACACAATGCAATTGCTTAACACTTCAGTACTTGATGTGATAAAACGCTATTATGAATATTGTAATTTAACATAACAAGTTCAAGTAGTTAAACCGAGTAACATCGATAAGCCGTAAGAGATAAATAACGTATGAGTGATAACCAATAAAAGGTGGGAGGAATCGAAATATTATAATAACGAAATTCATTAACTAATAGATAGCGGTACCAAATAAAACGAAGAAATAATTAACGTGTTATGTTATGTCAATGTATTAATGTGTCCTATATGACTCATATATAGGAAATTAAACAATCAGGCAAGTAAGCAACTGGGAATAGCAATATATTTTCCGTCAGGTATATTCATAAAAAAGCAAATAAATAAAAAACTGTGAGAAATAAACTTCTTAGTTCTAATAAAATAGTATATCTTACTTGGATTGCATTAAAAAAGTACAGGGTTTTTAATTCAAAAATGCTCTGCCATTATGCAGATTTTTTTTTGACGTTTTTTTAGGACGTTTGACATAAATTTCATTTTACACTGACACAGGTGCAAAAGCAAAAAAACAAAATTTGATGAACGTGGATGTATTTGATTGAACCATGATACCAATTCGACGCCAAGGCGAGAAATGTAGGTATTTTTCTGGACAATAACAATAATTGTGAAAAATTGTGGCCACTTCCCCTTCAAAATCGTGAAAAACACAGAAAAAGTGTAAATATTTTTCAACTTAAAACTAGGGCACTCTTTGTAATAGACTGATCACTGGTACCAGACTATTAAGAATATTTATTTGCTGTTCGGACGTTGAAATCAATGCAGGGAGATGGGTTTTTAGAAATAAAGTAAAGAATTCTGAATAATCTCAGATATAATATTTTATTAACACTTGTAAAATTTACTAAACATAAAAATGACCACTAGTCATAAGAACGTATACTTGTTGAGTGTTGTAGTTCGTCTGGCCTAGCTCTACTTACTACTCCTTTTTATATGGTTATGATAATTTTGTAAAGTGTTGTTGAGTAAATCGTGTGGGTTTAGATAATGATGAGCGGACGTGCACATCGTATAATTTTAATTGCGTGGGGTTTTACGATAATGGCAATAACATAATGTTTACTAATAACTTTATCTAAACGGAAAGGAAAACACAGTGGTTTTTATATATGAAATGTCCGTTTGCAATTTATCTAATCATAGTGTGAGATTAGACAATTACACTTGTGCGTTTTGTGTTGACTGTGAATCACGCTCCCGCCTTTGTATAATTAAGGAAATTATAATAAGTGTGCAATTTTTTACTATTTGTCTGTATAACATCATCATAATGTATGTGGGGTATATGTGTATAAGTATGTATAGGTGTGTGTTTTTAGTATTAACCTAGATTTTAAAACTAAAGTTCGCATTAGAATTGTTAAACATTTATTATTTTTTATGGTATTCGATCGATGAAAATCGTACACATTTTATATTTTATAGGTCGTCTTTACTATTTTTTCAAATAATATATTATATTGTGGTGTTGTTTAGCTCGGCTAGAAAGGTCTCTCTCTTTGGCCGAACGACTGTTTAGAGAGGGAGAAACTCATAGGCGATTAAACTGAGCTTCAAAAAACTATTCCCGGTCAAAGTGAACAAAATAGTTTATTTATAAATACACTTAATAAATTGACAATTTGGGTAAAAGTGTAATATTATGCGAAAACTACTTTACTTTAATAAATATAATAACAGTAGTACTGTATAAGTTTTTGAAGAAATACACATTTAATTCTTGGTACAAATTAGTATAACTGTTCCTCAAGTGTTATTATTTTATAATCAAGGTTATCGACATCTACTTGATAAAATATTCCACCAATAGATCTGTATTTTATAACATGGTCGGATTCATCCTTTAAGATACAGATATTATCAGAGTCAGTATCAATAAAATTTGTATATAATGTTGGAATTTTTGCACTCATCCACAATCCTATGAAATAACACAACTGACTTAAAGTGACATCTTTTTCGTTTACATCTGAAAAATTAAAATGTTTTTCAATTTCGAAATTTTGTTTACTAGCTTATACTATATTAGGACACAACTAATACACATGTATTAAACAAATCATAGAAAATAATAAAATATATACGGTGACCGTATTGTACTAGGTATGCAGCTCTGAGTCAATAACTTAACTAAATGGAAGAAACAATAGCCAACAACAATGGTATAAGATACAGTTTAAAATAAAAAAAACTCTAGTTTGTTTTACAATTACATATTTTATTAAAAAGGACAAGCTATTGTATTGAGAAAACACGAATTGAAAATGTGGAAAATGATGTCTTGCTTTACTCAATACTAATTCTGTAGTGAAATGTGTATTTTAAGAAAAAAACATTGTTTTAGAACGTGGCATTACAAAGTGTAAATGTATACTTAAATCATAACTTAATAGTTAGGAAATTAAAATATTAGCTGTTGTTTTTATGTTATAATGTGGTGAATTATTTCTATTTAATATATTGTAAAAGCATTTGCGTTAAAACGCATCAAATCAAGCGTTGGACCAAAAGAGTCCATGGATAATTAAAGAACTACTAAAATAGACAAAATAGAAAACACAACTAATTCTAATATTATTTTTAGCAAATATTGCTGTTAAATGTAATACGTTACTAAATATTTATGTTTGGAAAAAAGTCGAATCAAAGATACTATACGTGTTTTGTATAAAACAACAATTAAATGTGTGTATAACTGTGGTAAAAATGAATCTTTGATAAGTAAGTTTGAAAAATATTAAGCAGTCCGTAGGTATTTTATGATAATTTAAAAAAACTTTTATAGAAAAACAAACGTTTGAATAAATCAAGTACTTTAATTAGTATACCTAACCATTATATTTATTTTATTTTTGTAAAAAAACAAAAACATTATAACTCTATACTAATATTTACTTAATGCACGCCTTATTATATTATTTAGAGCTTTTTTAGTAAGAACTCTTCTCAGATTTCCAAGTTCGGTCAAATTTACATTTCCAAAATCTGGAAAAATTAAAATAAATAACCGTGTTAATTATTACAAATCATAAAAAAAAGTTTAATTAGTTACATGGGAATTGTAGTACATAATTTCACTACATTTTGAACAATCGTGCTCTTTCTAATTTTTTTGTACAACTTGCCTTAGTGTTTCAACTCAAAAAATATATACTATTTTATGTATTATGTTTATAATATTTGTATTAAAAAAAAATATATATATATACATGCGGTATTTTTTTAAGGCGTTTTCGATAGGCAATATTTAAGAAAAAGGTAGTTTTAATAAATTTCGACCATGTCGATAAATATACCGGTTAATTTGTACAAGCTTTATGGTGTTATTTTTAATGTAAACATTTTTTCCTGCGAGTAAAAGCCATTTTGGTTTATTGTAGACCAAAATACCAGACAAATTTTCGACTTCATAGAATAGTCAAATTTCAGTTCTGTAAAAGAGATTTGAGTTCTTTAGCTACTTTACTATGTTATGTAGTGTTTTTAATTTAAAAATGTCAGTTTTTTTAAATTAATTAAATAAGTTTGTAATTTGTTCGATACTAAAATACAATTTTTTTACATAATAAAGCAAAAAAATCAATTATCGTTTTTCTACATAACCTTTTAAACTGATCAAAGAACTGGAATATCTTTACAGAATAGAAATCGGACCCATCTAAGTAGTCAAAATATTGTCTGGCTTTTTTGTCTAAAACTTCAAAAAAACAGACCGCTTTAGGCCTATTTACTACCATTCAATAAATTCGTAATTACAGTGCATTGGAACATTAGGTACACGAATAGCTGTAACAAAAAATACAATAAATCAGATAATCATACAGTTAATCAAAACTTCTATAATATTATTTATAACAGTCATTCAGTATTGAAAATAGTTAATTAAAATATGTAAAATAATGTATTAACGTTTTAACAGCGAATTTAATATTTCGAATGATCTTTAAGAGCTTAAAACAGAAACATATAGGTTTATGAATTTACATTTAATATGTTCTTTGTCAGGACTAAGTAGTGGTAATTTTGAAAATTGTTCGCTCAAAAGTATTAAATTTTATATTTACACAATTCAAAGCTTATTTTTCCTTGTAAAGCTATTTGGGTAAATACAGCTTCTGAAATTTAAAACAAAATAAAATAATAATACATAAATAATGAATCTTTATATAGATTTGTAAATACAAATGTTACCCGGTAAGTTGGTAAATTTTGCTCGCTCTGAAAGTAATATGAAAACAACATTGTATATCAGATGACTTTGTGGAAATATTTTCATAAAATGCAATAAAAATGATTACCCGGCACAGCGATCATAAAATTAATTTGGTCTGAAATTCGAGTTACATAAAATGATAATAATATTGGATTTCATTTTTTCATCATTTATAAATAAAAAGGCGAACATTAAGGTAAAAAAAACATGTGTATTGAATATTCGGTAAAAAAGGTCCTTGTTCCGATATATTAAATAGAGTGGTAACACACTATGATAATACAATGGCTAAAATTTAAGATTTATATCACTGATACATACATGCACAATGAATAATTTTTGTTTCTATCTTTACATAAATTACAAATATTTGTTCTGCTAGTTAGCTATAGTTTTATTGATATATACCAATAATTACCAAAGGTATATTCATTTTCACAGACAATTCTTCACATCGTCATAATTTTATTGCGTGGGGTTTTACGATAATGGCAATAACATAATGTTTACTAATAACTTTATCTAAACGGAAAGGAAAAACAGTGGTGTTTTTTATATGAAATGTCCGTTTGCAATTTATCTAATCATAGTGTGAGATTAGACAATTACACTTGTGCGTTTTGTGTTGACTGTGAATCACGCTCCCGCCTTTGTATAATTAAGGAAATTATAATAAGTGTGCATTTTTTTACTATTTGTCTGTATAACATCATCATAATGTATGTGGGGTATATGTGTATAAGTATGTATAGGTGTGTGTTTTTAGTATTAACCTAGATTTTAAAACTAAAGTTCGCATTAGAATTGTTAAAACATTTATTATTTTTTATGGTATTCGATCGATGAAAATCGTACACATTTTATATTTTATAGGTCGTCTTTACTATTTTTTCAAATAATATATTTTATATGTGGTGTTGTTTAGCTCGGCTAGAAAGGTCTCTCTCTTTGGCCGAACGACTGTTTAGAGAGGGAGAAACTCATAGGCGATTAAACTGAGCTTCAAAAAACTATTCCCGGTCAAAGTGAAAAAATAGTTTATTTATAAATACACTTAATAAATTGACAATTTGGGTAAAAGTGTAATATTATGCGAAAACTACTTTACTTTAATAAATATAATAACAGTAGTACTGTATAAGTTTTTGAAGAAATACACATTTAATTCTTGGTACAAATTAGTATAACTGTTCCTCAAGTGTTATTATTTTATAATCAAGGTTATCGACATCTACTTGATAAAATATTCCACCAATAGATCTGTATTTTTTAAATGGTCGGATTCATCCTTTAAGATACAGATATTATCAGAGTCAGTATCAATAAATTTGTATATAATGTTGGAATTTTTGCACTC